GCTTACTTGCTGGACCCTGAACACGTGAGCTTCTCCAGTCCCCGGGCTCTGCCCTTGCCATTTTCTCTTTCTGACACCTTCTGCCCTTTGATTTGACTTGTACCTTCTCTCACATTGTTTAGGTTTCTGCTGAAATGTCACCACCTTAGTGAGACCTTGCTGAAGAACCTTATCTAAACCAGTATCCCCCCATCCCTCCCAGCATACGCTTCCTGGTTCTTATCACTACTAGAAAAAAATAGCATATTGCGCATATATTTTGTTTTCTTGATTTTTATCCTCCACTGTACTATGAGCTCCATGAGGCCAAGGTGCTATTTGTTTTGTTTAGCATGAATAAGACCTAACATATGAAGTATGCATTGACTTCAGTTATCATTATGGAAGTAAGCTGTTTTAAAATCAATGCTGAAAATAGTTTAATTGGTAACAAGAATTTCTCCATGGCTTGGAAACAATATTCATTTTGAAGGTCTTATTTGGTTTCATGCTATTCTATAGGAAACTTGAACATTCAAGGATATTAGTGACACATGTCAAGTTTGAAACTAGTAATGGTAGCTGTTGTAGCAATTGTAATAGGTGCCATACGAACCTTTATTAGTGGCAGGTGCTTTGGAGAATTTTCTCATCTAATACTCTGAATAACTCTATGAGATATCTCTCTCTCTCTCTCTCTCTCACACACACACACACGTATTGTTGCAGTTTTAAATACACACACGCACAAATACAAGTATTGCTGCAGTTTTAAAGCTTCCCATAAATTCTATGCCCATTCTCTCTTTAAAAGGTAGTTTAATTTGCCTCTTCTGGAATGTGAGCTTGGCTTAATGGCTTTGTTCTAAAGAAGAGAATATGGTGGAAGTGACAGTCTTTGGCACCCAAGATTAGATCTTCAAAGACATCGAAATTCCTCACTGTTCTTTCTAGGATTGCCCAACCTGAGTCTTCATTTTCTCACCTGAAGGTGAGGGCTGTGGATCCCAAGACATCCCAGCTCTTCAATCACCAGCAGCAAGCAGCCTTCTTAGCATGGATGCTGGTGTCTTATCAGTTAGCAGCATATTTAGTTGGACAAAGTATCTTTATTTATTTATTTTTATGTGGTGCTAAGGATCGAACCCAGGGCCCTGTACGTGCTAGGCGAAGGCTCTGCCACTGAGCCATAACCCCAGCCCTCCTTTTGTCGTACGTTTTGGGAATAATTTGTCACAATAAATAACAAACACATTTGGAAACGGAAGGACAGACGGATGAAGAGCCCTGAACCATACAGCTAGTAGAAATGATGCAAGAATTAGAACCCAGTCAACGTGAGTCTACAGCCCGAATATTCAACCACACAAGGTCAAGATTACATCTCAATAGCAGAAGGAAAATATTGCCCCATTTTAGTGCCAGCCAGGGCAGTGGATTCAATATTTCCTTGGAAAGTAAACAGGCTAGTCTTTGCTTTAATGCAAGGCCATGGTAGGCAGCTAATAACTTAGCTTCTGAGTTCCCATCCATCCCAGGTTTGTGCAAGCATACAACGGGAACCTATCTTTCCTGTATTCCTTCTGCCATACCCTTGAGCTTCTGCTCATCTTTACTTTCAATGATGCAATTTTGATAAAGCTTCAATCACTGAATTATTTTCCATAGGTGGGCTTGTGACTTAAGCCTGGCCAGTCATTGCGTACTATCAGTGTTCAACTACGGTGATTGGGCAAAGTGTGAGTGTATGAGCCAAGAAGAGCCCTTCCCTGGGACTTATAAATACCACATAATGCACAAGCCCAGATTCTGCGCTACCAAGTGCTGTATTCTCAGTGGCAAAAGAAGCCTATCTTCAACAGTTGAAGTGCCAACAAGCAGAATCAAGCAGAGAGATGCCATCTTGCATATCTTGAGACCTGAAATCCAGCCATTCCTGAGAGCAAGTTCATCTTTTTACAATCTGTAGGAGTCAATAAACTCTGTTTTACCACTTGCCCTCCAGCTGTGGTCAGGATGAAGAGTCTACCACAGTTTGTGAAAGATGGTTATTACCTTCCATTCTAGGAGCAATGAGAGTCCCCCTCACCTGAAGAACCGGGGGCAGCACCATCCATTGGTTGGCTTCCACAGATGAAGCTCTTTCCCCTCTTCGTCCCTCAGGAAGCATCTGTCTTTCCTAGAAGCCAATGATGGTCTGGGGGTACTCAGAAAAGTGTGATGCTGGGGTGGGGGTGGCTCAGTCGCTCAGTTTCAAACCTTAGTCATCTGTGTATCCTTCCTTTCCTTAGTGGCTCACCCCTCCCCCAGTCCTCCGTGCACACACATCCTGTTAGTCATCAAGTCCTGTTGATCTGGATCAAATGGTTCATGGAGGTAGGTGGAGTAACAAATGAATGTTAGCTGGGTCCTTTCTGGACATCTCGCAAATCCAGTTTTACTTCTTCATTTTGACTGCTACCACCAGGAACCATGGCAATGAGTCTCCCTGCCTCTCACCTCAACCCCTGTAGTGGATGTCTCAGATTTCGTCTAGGATTTGTTTTCCAAAGAACACTCTTGATTGCCACGCGCCTGTGATGGATTCAGTTTTCCACTGCTGAGTGTTCAAGATGCGTCACCTTCAATATCCAAGTGGCTGTGGCGTCCAGATTCATGTTTTAGTCTTCGCACACCTCTCCTGCTGCAGAACCACCTGCCATCCACCCTTACTTCTTTCCCCCCTTAAGTCTTCAAGACCCACCTCGGTCTACCTCCACTGTGAAATGCTCCCTAGGCATGCCGTCCACAGTCAGAGCCCCCTTTTGTGAACTCTGTAAACAACTGTTGTCTAGGTTAGGGTTGTTGTTTTTTTCTTTCCCAAATGTCACTCACATTCCTCTGGAGTATTTGCTAGCACAAGCCCAGTTTTTGGTATTCTTTTAGACTACTGGTTATATATTTAAATTTGTCTGAGAATATTATTTCCAAACCCATTTCCTTTCTTGTCTTCTACTTCCAAATTATGCGCACATACTATGGTGGTGCATCTACTTCCAAGAACAAATTGAAGATCATTAAACTTTGTTTTGCTGCACTACAAATAGAGAACTGCTGATTATTAATGTGATTATTTAAAACAATGACCATTGGAAAAATATCAATATGAACAAAGAAGAGAATGGCTATAACCAATTCCACAGTTTCTAAGCCAAATGTGCTTTCTAATTTATTTCCACACCTTCCCACCATTTCCCCCTCACCATTTTAGTATGGGATTTTAATTAGGACTTGGACTACAACTTGCTGTATTGGGATGACCTGACAAGCATTCATCTGCTACCACTCTCCACCAGCAATAGTGATAGTGTGATAGGCAGACCACCCAGCCCCTGGGGAAGCTTCCCAGATGGACTGTGTGAAAGGACATTCTAGCAGTGGGAACAGTATCTGCAAACTCATGTCCTGGAATGAGATAGACATAAAAACTTTGTGGTTTAGACTCCAAGGAATTTTCTTTAATTGAAAGATTTGGTGACTTAGAAGGTTGACAATCTCTGGACTAAACCATTCCTCCGACCTCCTTGGCATTTCACTTTCCAGGGGGGCAGTTCAGGGTGCAGATTTACACATAAATTTTCTTTATTGAATCCCACAGGAGCAGACAGGCCCACGATTCTCTTATTTAAATCTCACTTCATCTTAGGTGCCTGTTATCATTGCCTATTTACAGAGAAGTCACCAAATGATCTGCCCATAGGCTCACAAATAGGAAATGACCCACGGAGGATGTTACATCCACGTCCCATTTGGACAGTGCCTAGCTGGGCATTTTTAGGGGGCTAGATGAAGAAGACCTTTCTTCCAATTTCAGAACAGCCTGCTGGCCCAGCTTCTGAGGTAACTACATTTTTAATAAGGAGAAGCCTTTAACCACAAGGGTGACAATTACCCATGACGTTAATAGGAAGCCATGGCATAAGAAGGGGTTTGGGTTTTAGGGAGTTCCTCCAGTCCCTTGGCTCTGGAGCCTGGCACACAGTAGGAACTCTTTTAGTAGAACCAGAGGAGGAACCACCATTCTCCCCTCAGGCACGTGTCTTCTCTCATCTCTGGGATTCAAAGTCCAGTGTGGGCAGGGTCCCGCTTGTGCCTGGGCCCGGACCTTGCGGGGCAGTTGGGTGGACTTTGGGAAATGTTTGTTGATTAACGGAGAAGTGGATGGATGGTGGGGCGGGGGCTTCTGACGAAGGCCCTGCCTAGCCCTGGACTCTTCGCAGGGGTTACCGGGCGGCCTCGCCGTCCTGGCTCCCCGTGGTGGCCATTCCCTCCTCCTCGGTGGCCTCCACTTCTTCCCACCAGTCTGGAGGGAGGGGTCGCGCAGTCCCCGGGGGCCAGGTCTCCAGAGCCCGTGTCCGCTGCCCTCCGCGGGGGTGGGCGTCGGGACCCGGTCCGGCCGAGCCGGGCCGCGGTCCTTCCCCTCACCGGCCGCCGCAGCCCTCTACCTGCCTGGCGGCCGCCCCTTCGCGGCCCCGGCCAGGCACGCCCGGAGGCCACCTGGCCCGCCAGCGCGGGGCCCCGGAGCTGGCCGGGTTGGCGGGCGGGCCCGGCGCGGCTCGGCCGGGGGACCGGTCCCCGGGGCGCGGCCGGGCCGCCGCCCCCGCCCCCCCCGCCCCGGGGGCCGGGCCGGGCTCCCGGGGGGCGGGGACTCGCCCAGTGGCAGCAGCGTCCGGGCCGGCGGCGGGCGCGGGGCGGCTTCCTGCAGGCGGCGCCGGGGCGAGCCGTTGCCGGCTGCAGCCTCCGCCGCCGGGTCGCGGGTCGCGGGGGCCGCGTCGCTCGGGCCGCGTCCGTGCTCCCGGGCGCGCTGCGCGGCCGTCGCTGCTGCCCGCGCTCGTGCCGCCGCCGCCGCCGCCGCCGCCGCTGCCGGTTACGCCAGCCCCGCCGCCGCCCGCTCCGATTCTGCGCATAGGCAGCCCCCAAGCCTGTCATTCTGCAAAAACACAGTTTACTCAACACACCACACACTCGCACACACACGCGCGCACACACGCGCACACTGGCCCCCGCGCGCACACGCACGGAGGGCGCGAGCGAGCAGACGCGCACACCCGGCGAGCCAAGTTCCGCAGCCTGGCATGGCTTCTGGGGACCTTTACGAGGTACGGGGACGCGGGGCGCGGGCCGGACCCAGCCCGCGGGCGGCGGCGGGCGGCGGGGCCGGGCCGGGCCGGGCCGGGCCGGGCGCGAGCGGAGTTGCCGAGCCCGCGGCGGCGGCGGCGGCGGCGGCGGAGGGTGGCGGGGGCCGGGCGCGCCGCCCGCCCGCCGCCCGCCGCCTCCCGCGGCGCCGGCGCCCGCCGCCTTTCTCTTTCTCTGGCACACACTCTTACTCCCTCTACTTTGCGGCCTTGGAGGGGAAGGAGGAAGCCGGGCGGCGCCGGGCGGGGGAGGTAGCGGTCCCGGGGAGGTGTCTCGCCCGACGAGCCGCCCCGAGTGCAGAAAGTACAGGTAAAGTCGGCGCCGGACGTGCCGGGAATGCGGGGGCCGCGCCGCGGCCGGCGGGGGTGCGGGGCGGGGGTGCGCGGCCGGGCCGGGCCGGGGGCGCGGAGGCCGGGGGGCGGGCGGCCGAGCGGAGCCCGCGGGGCGCGGTGGGCCGGGGGCTGCGGACGGGGCGGCCGGCGGGGCTCGGGGGACGCCCGCCAAACGGTCCCCGGCCCCGCCCCTCCCCCCCACCTGCTGCCCCGCCGCGGGCTCCGACCCTCCGGGCTGGGGCGTGGGGGCGGCCCTTGCGGGTGTCGTTCTCGCCGGGGCCGAGAGGGGGCGCTGCGGAGGCCCTCGGTGGAAGGGAAGGGAACATGGAAGTCGAAGGTGGGTGGTAACACGTTGCCAGAGGACGAGGATGGGAGCCTTGCCCCCGCCACCCTCCGCCACCCTCGGCGGATACCGCACTCCAGGTCCACGCAGGTGGGGGGCAGCCCTAGGTATTTTGAAATCGTTCCAGAGGGGTGAAGGCAGATAGTAGTCTGGCACCTTCAAACAAGGTAGAAATACCCCTGGTACCCGTGACCTCTGGAGAGCTAGGGCTTCACCAGCCCTGGACGGCACACGTACCAACTCTGGACGTGGACAAGTGGACCAAACAAGAAACCAGCAGCGCTCCCTGGAGCAGAGAGGGGTTGGCTCCCGAGAGAAGGTTCTGGATAAAGAAGCCAACGGATGGGCCATCTTCAACCAAAAGGCCTGCTGATCCTGCAAGAGCCAGCTCAAGGGTCACTCTGGACCTGGACTCCCCTGAACATAAGTCAGTTAACACGAGTTCTGAATTTCAAGACTTTTGGGTGAATTGAGACAAAAACCTAGAAGCAGTGGGATTCTCCTTCTGGCTGAGAGACTAGAGGGGGTAATTCACCCATGGTGAGCGCTTTCTTCTGAGTCTCACAGGCAGCTCAAACTTTATCAGATGGATTTGCTGGCTGGTGTGGGAGAAGAATGGAAAATAGGCAAGTTAGCATCTTGGCCTCCTGTGTAACCAGGGCTTGGTGAGGCCCAGTCATGGATCACTCACCCATATGCAGCCAGGAGCAGCCTTAGCACTTATTGAGTGATGTAAGTTGCCCTCTTGTCTGCCCTGTGGCCTTCCTGATCCCTGTACTGGTAGAGAAGATGAAGTTGGATGGAAACTTGTTGAAGAACTTTGGCAGAGACAACCAATGGGACCATTAGAGCTCTTGGGTCTCTTTCAAGATGGCAGAGCCATTTCCAGAAACCCAAATTGAATCACAGTGAAATGGAAATTTTGAACTTCCTGTAGTATAACCAGCCCCACCAGGACCTTGGCCAAGAGGAGATGTTCAGGGGCAAAACTAATCTTGTTGAGATCATGGAGTTTTTCTGTCCATTGTTGCCCAATGTGTTAGAGCTGCTGACCTTGCCCAGGTAAAAGTTGCATGGCGGAGGCTTTAAGAGGACCTATCACCAGCCATCAGTGTTTCCGCATTTAAAATTTGGAACTTACAAACCTTCTGGGGATAATTTCTTGCTTAATGTTCATCTGAAACTGCCCTCCTTAACGTTGGTAATTATAGTTGCCAGATGAGTCTGAAGAGGGGAATTTTCACAACGGCCTTGAACTATCTTAGCACCTCAAGAGTTCTTATTGAAGTTCAATAAGCAGACAATAATAATAATTACTTCTGTGATAGTAGGTAATTGTACTAGATGTAAAATGGTTTTCCTGTGGCTGATTATTTGCATAGTCATTACTAAAAGGGCTAAATTGCATTATGAGAATATAACCAATGTCAACATTTTTATAGCCTGTGTCTACATTATATAACGTATACTGAGGAAAATTTAATTTGTTGTTCAAATTTAACTTTAAAAACAATTAAGAACTGCTAAGTGTACATTAGCACATAGACTTCTAACTGTAACATTGTTATATGCATAAAAATAGGATATTGATTAAGAAAAAGTCTTGGAATACCTCGTATAATGACTGATCTTGAAAGGAAAAAACCAGATCTCATTCTAAATTATGCTGTTACTTTAATTAACTATTATACTTGAATGTACATAAAATGGCTTCTCATAACCTTTAACCAATAAACTGCATTTTGAGTGGACTCGGAATGACTGCCTTTGTCATTAACATATTTTACCTTTGTGCTGACACGATTTTTGACCCTTTATGGTGAAGATGTGATTTCTGAATTTCAAGACTTGTAGAGTCTTCATCTTCTCTTTGGTGTTTCAGACAATTCAATTGTACAGAGCAAATGTTCCTCAAATAGTACTTTTTTTTTTTTTTTTTAAGACATAGGTACTGAGTTTAAAGACATCAAAAGAAGAAAATTTTGTGTATGTAATGGCACTGTTGAGTGATCTTGAAGGAAGACAGAATCTTGCTCAGGTCCCTCAATTTTGGATCTTGATAGATGGTTCTGCCTTGTTTCTCCTATAATAGAGTCCTCCTCCTCTTCTTCCAGTATGTTGTAGCCATCAACTACATGAAGGTGTTTTTAAATATCGATTAATGCCATGGAGTCAGACATAGGCCTAGTTGTAAAGTGAGTTCCTTTTTCAGATGCCCTGGCCTACATCTTGCTGAATGTAGGGATCGTAAGTGGCAGCCCAGGGGCCAGGTCTAGGCTCTGTGTGTGTGTGTGTGTGTGTGTGTGTGTGTGTGTGTTGTGCGCGCGTGTGTGCGTACCTTGCCTCACTGTGGATAAGAAGACTGAACTTCATCACTTTCAGATGGTGTTCTAGGTTGTCATGACCTCTAATGACAGTTAGAGACAGTTTGTCACTGTCTCTAATGCTCTGTAACCGTGTACTTCTTCACACTTACATTTTTCATCTGGCTCCAGTGGGCATGAGAGTCGACAACCCCAGGATTCTGGTCAATCTAAGGCATTTGGGTATCAGGAAGACATCATCAGTAGAATAGGAAACCCAGATTTGTCATCTGTGGGTCCCCAGCTCCTTCACATTAAGTTCTTCATTGACTGAATCCTTGAGCACAAGTCTGATTTAAGTATAAATAAAACACTTTAGGTGGCCTTCTGAGTATCATCCTCTGTTTTCTTCATGTCTCTTGCTCACAGTCTCTTGAAACCATGTGTAGGGTGGCTCAACTCTCTCTCCGGGAGGAAGTATGTCTCGCGTCTTACCAGAGAAGCAGGCTGGTGTGCTTCTTCCAGAGAAGAAGGATGCTGTGCATTTAAGCTTCAGCCACGTGGCTTTCCCTGGTGTTGAGGGTTGTCTGACACTGGAGGAGGGCTCCACTTTGTAGGCAGAGGTGTTGGAAGAGAAAGCTGTAGGTCCTTGGAAGAGGGCAGCACTGACCAGGTTGAAATTTACAGAAATGGGCCCGATGGTTCTTTTTGTGTCAACATTCAACTTATTTATGCTTTCCAAAGTTCCAACTTGAAAGGATGAGATGCTTCTAAGATGTGCAGTCTTTCTTTCTTTTGGGATTGATGTGCATCCTTATCACTAGGTGAATACAGAGAGCTCCACGTGCCTGTGTGTAGTTATGTGTGTGATTGTGTAACATCAATGATAAAATACTTTCATTTCATTCCAAATAAAGTCAATAACAATGGAATCGTTTGAGTTTTGTTGGAAAGAATTTACTTCAGTTAAAAATGGACTCCACAGTGATGAGCACAGGCACCTCCACTCTGGAGCTATATATGCACCTTGTGCACTAGAACCACATGCTAAAAATAACAGAGCTTATGGGAGAAGCAGCCCTGAAGCAGACTGCAACCTGTAACCAGAACACTGAAAACCAAGGCAAGCCTAATACAAATGCAGGGCCGCGGGCCTTGGCTGGCTGGTGCGTGCCCCACCTGGCGCTCCTTCACAGAGGCACACTGAGCTTGTGTCCCTTCTCCTCTCTGGAGGACATTCACTTCTCATAAAGACTATTCCAACAAATCCATTCCGGTCCAGGGCGCAGCTTTCTTCACTCAGCCGTGTGGGGAGAGGTGGTTTGTGGCTTCTTCCTCTGCTCTGGCAGCTTGGCCATGCAGGTTAACATAGTGGCAAGCCCAAGGGGCTCTCAAAGTCACCAAATCAGCCACCACTCACGTTAAAGGAAGGCACTGAGTGCATTGCCGTTTGCTTCTAGGGCCTTCATCTGTTGTTAAGTCTTCTCCTGTGAGAGTGGTCGCCAGTGATGGCTTCAAAATGTCCACCAGCTAGGAAGAATCACACTTGAACCAATAGGCTGGTGTCACGATCCCTATTTACCAGTCGCGTTTAAGAAGATTCCTGTCAAAAAAACAAAAAACAAAAACAAAAAACAAAAAAACATGTACTAGCAGAACAGTGTGGGATCCAACTTCTTGAATCCCTGCACGAGTATTTGAGGAGTTGAATTGATTCTTTGGCACATAGTAGGTGCCTGATGAACATGGAATGGGTATGTGAGTCTCTCTCCTTTTGAAAATTATTTTAAATGATCTCCAATGGGTTTGCATTGGTTTAAGTAGATCTTTATGTCAAGTCCCTCCTTACTGCATAAGATCATTTCTTCAGGGGCTCAAACTGTTCTTGACAGGAGCTGCTGTGGCTCCCTACAGACTGACCAGTTGCTCAGGAGCAGTTCAGGCCTGGTGATCCTCAGAGGTCAAAGACATTGCAGTGGTGCCTT